ACAATTACAGCCAGAAGAACAGACATATCACATGGTCTTCTGCATGGGAAGAATGCTGTTTTTCGTCTACGGTGTTTTCGAGACGCCATATGATGGCTTCTATACTTGATAAGGCACGAGTAAAAAGAAACCGAGGAATTTAAAGGTAAAAGTGTTGTATCAAAGAAACAGGTTGTATTAAAGAAACAGACTCTCATAAAACTTGATGCTGCACACCTTGCTTGAGGATCGTATTTAAAAGAGGTGAGCGGTAGGGTTGCTCAGTTTGATTTTTGTGTGGTGCTTTCGCTGGATAAACCTTCAGCGCAAATTGTCTTATCGACACCCCTGAAAACAACCAGAAGCAGGGATCTGACAAAAAGTCATGTAAAACCCCAGCTACTACTGGATACATGTGCTTGAGGTCATCTGCTATACATCTCGACCGATGAGGATCCCATTCGCCACGCGCTCTATCCCAGGAAGTACTGAGAGAGTCGCCACGGCAATCAATAGCAGCGGATTCTTACCCCACCAATGAGAATGAAAGCAAAAGGGGAAAAGAGAAGAAAGAAGGAAGAGAAGGGAGGTTCAGCGGTAGACAGAAGTTCAACTCAACATAGGGACCTCAAAGTCGTAAGGTGCCTGAAGGTAGCAGCGGGACCTTGGGGAGCACCCTTCAATGGGGGGGGGGGGGGGGGGGGAAGGAGCAGCAACAGGACGATTAGAAACCGGAACATGGCACGGTGATACTTCTGACGTAAAAGGCGAGGAAACATAGGGACCTTGAAGCCTTAAAAGGACCGGAACACAGTATAGGGACTTGGGCAACAACTTTTAGACAACTAATTCTTAACTTAAAAGTCGTATGAGCAACTAACAGTCCAACTCCAACAGAATTTTAACGAAATCGATATTCTCGACAATGAAAATCGTAAAATTATCAATGAAGTCTTCAGCAAGAGCATGATAAAAATAGCCTTCACGTTTCTATGATGAGCTGTGCATGAGAAGAACATATGAGTGGAATACTCAAATGATTCATAAAGAGGCTAACCTTCTGTCCTGATGGGCGCCAATGCGGTGTCCGGAGCCCATTCAATACACTCAACGACATGCTCATGTTCACGTAAAGTTGCTTTTACACTTTTCGACTGCAGCGACCATACCATTACGGACTGAAAACAATCAAAAACTTGATAAACTATCGTAGCATCGTAGGCATGGTACTATCTCTCTGGGAACAATTTTCGCCAAATTCCCTTCTTTGGTGCAACCCCACTTCTCCCCATCCAGTCTACCTCTCCCTACAATTTCTCCAACTTCGTGCCACTTTCCCGAATTTTTTTCAAAAAAAATTTTAAAAAGCTGTTTTCCCCAAAAACTGCGCCCAAA